TTTTTAGCGTTCCATTGCGTTTCTGATTCCTGCTCTAATCTGCCTTCTATCCACTGGGCGTGCCCTGTACCTGTCTTGGTTGTTACATTCCGTAGTGTTCCTGATACTCTGACCTCTTCTGCCTCTTAAACTACTGAGCTTGCCTGTTCCCACCTGAATGTTCTGCCCGAACTATCTGTGGACTCAAGGAACCTTGAACCTGCCTGTTCCTGTTCTCATCGGTATTCCTGACGGGCTCCGGACTCCGGACTCCGGACTCCTGGACCTCTTAGCCCACCTGTTCTGATCTGGATCCCTGACCTGGCTTGGACTCCTGCTTGTTCTTTGGGACTGTAGCATCTTGGTCACACTGGGCGGCACCTGCCACATCTCCTTGGCAGCCCGCTGGCTAGATCCTACCTCGTTCTATGGAGATGGACTGAACTGATAAAGTAGAGTTCCCAGTAATGGGTGGTGGCCCATTCTAAACCAGCCCTTGTTTTTAATAAACACTTTTGAATTATTCCGCTGTCTTTCTCACCTTGAATACTGTGTCCTTCTGTCCTGTGTAATGTCAGATTATTCTTACCACAATAAGGACCCATCTGCAGACAGACAGTGGTATTCGAACAATGTTTTTCTCGGCTCGAGTTCAGGCATGCAGAGATTCTGGATCTGCGGTTTCAGATCTGGATCTGTGGTTTCAGATCTGGATCTGCGGTTTCAGGCTACTTCTGTGTCAGGAGCTGTCAGGAGCAGCGTCTGTTCCACCCTGAAGTTTTGTTTTTGGTCATTCTAGTCTGTATCTGGATATTCTTTGGGTCCTTCTGTTTTGTGTCATAATACAAAAATCTAACACGAAGAAGAGATCTTCACACCAACTAGAACTGCTCACCTTTTTCCACTGATTTTATAAGTGATACTTTTACAAGCGGCAGAATATGACAGAGATGATGGCTCTGCATCCAGAACCTCCATCTGCCTATAATGAGCACTGATGTGTGAACAGCAGACCCTTAAAACGATGAAGACAAAATGTGGTTCTAGAAGATCACTCAGGTTTAATCTAGATTTTAAATTTACCGTATGGCATGGTCCATGCGTGAAACCGTGAGGTATGCTGCCAAGTTGGCCGTGTACGATGAACATACGATGAGCGTGAAGAGCCACCAGCTGCCCATGACGATCCTCAGAGCCACCGAGCCAACCACGCTGTCACCTCCTGCAAAAAAAAATTGTCAGGATCTGGATGAGCGTGAGAGGTTTCAGGATCTGGATGAGTGTGGGAGGTTTCAGGATATGGACGAGCGTGGGAAGTTTCAGAATCTGGACGAGCGTGAGAGGTTTCAGGATCTGGACGAGCGTGGGAGGTTTCAGGATCTGGACGAGCGTGGGAGGTTTCAGGATCTGAACGAGCGTGGGAGGTTTCAGGATCTAAACGAGCGTGGGAGGTTTCAGGATCTGGACGAGCGTGGGAGGTTTCTGAATCTGGACGAGCGTGAGAGGTTTCAGGATCTGGACGAGCGTGAGAGGTTTCAGGATCTGGACGAGCGTGAGAGGTTTCAGGATCTGGACGAGCGTGAGAGGTTTAG